GAACTAGGGACTGCATTTCAAAACAGGATGTAGATTTCCTCCCACCTACCTGGTGAAAATCAAAGCTTTAAGGAACTGAACTCCATACACAAAATATGCAAGTTTTAAGTATTTAATAATGGGACCTTTAAAACCAAGGGTACCTTTCTAACAGGAGGCTGTGCCATTTCACTTATTTCCATTAAAAATAATAATAAGTTCTGAAAGAAACAAGCAGAAAGAAGGACTCGGTTCTCCCCCAGACAAGTGAGCCTAATCACAACAAAGACATACTTGCCTTACTTTGGCTCTCCTTGCATCCTTGTGAAGCACGGAGAGCTTCCAAAAGAGACTGCAGAACCAGATGGCTGAAGAGGTGACAGATGGGGATTTGAACCATCAGGCAGATAATAGAATTAACCAGAATTTCATATTGCTCCAAAGACTGATGAACCACCAGACCATCAAGCAGAGGAGGAGATTGCTCAAAAAGCAGGAGATCCCTATCAAAAAGTCACTTTGCAAAAAATAAAACTCTGAACAGAAAAGTAAGCAGCAGTCACAGGTTTGGTTTTTTTGGTTTTTTTTTGAGAAAGGGGTGAGGAATCTACATGCAGGACAAGATTCAGAGACTCAGCTCCTAACATGCTGAGATCACAATGTACACACTAACATCCAGGGAGAAGCAGGTTAAAAACTCTCCAGTCAACCACCACAGTCTGGAAGTAGAGCACCTTCCATTTTATGGTGATTTTAGAAGGCTCTGATGGTACTTCAAGTCCACATGTTCTGCATTACAGTTTCTTAACTGGATCCAACATCAAGGTTTCAGCATAAGTATTTAGAATGAGTGTTAAAATTCAGCGGTAGAATTTGAACCCATATATCTATCTTCAACTTTCTGTTTTTTCTTGTTCAAGGACTTATTTCCTACCAACCACCTTTCTGTCTTCTCATCTCATGAGCACTCTTCTACCTGAATATTTCAGAATGTAAGTAATTTAATAAAAACCACATTTTCTTGCATGTCCTACTAAATAATATTAAGAAAAGAAAAACCCTGCTGAAACACTTGATTTCACAAGAGAAAACTACATAATCATATTGCCTCTTGTCAGGTGCAGTATATATTTCTTCCCATCTATAATTGTGCTAACACAGAAAAATGCCCATATTAGTATTTTCCTACGTTTTTAATGGCCTTTTAGTTAACACACCAGATTTTGAAAATTGTTTTTTAAAAATTATGCTTGAAATATACTCTGCAGATCTCATGAGTCAACCTCGTAATCTTCTTTACTTCTCCCCTTCCTTACTGTTGTGCCCTACTCCTCAAATGAGAGCCTGCCATTATACCTGACTGCAGAAAGTCATTCAGAGTTCATTCAACAAAATCAAAATTTGACTTCCAGTAAGCGTCTTTTTTTCAAAGTGAGAAACTCCACTTTATTTAAGTGCATGTGTTTTTGCTGAAATGACTGAATCAGCAGTACAAAAAGATTGTACACCAAACCCTAACTAGTTAAACAGAAAATATCTTCCAACTAGATCATCAATAATAAAAATACCACAAGATATATTCAGAATCAATACACAAAGCACTTATGATCCACTAGTGGTAATATCAACTACTCAATTTTCTTTTCTTAGTGATTTCCATGTGAAAATCCATGGGACCAACTTCTCACAATCCATTCACTTTGTCATATCCAATACACAGCTGTTCCCTTTGGGGAGATTATCCACACACAGAGCAAAGAAAGCTGTTTCTGAGGCTGTGCCTCAAGCCATGGCAAATTCCTGGATAAGGTATATATGAAGAAAATCTCAGGCACAAAGCAACTTAGGAAAAGGAGTCTAACTCTATGATTTAGAAAGCCTAACCTGTGAATCTTTAAAAAAAGAAAAAATTAAGTTAGATGCCAAAACAACTCAGCACAGCCAGAACTTATGCGGTATCTCAGAAGAAGAAATCTTGGCTCCTAATGGACTTCAGGAGAAAGTAGTTGTCCAGGGAAGAGACTGTAAAGGTCAGGATTGATGCCATGACATTTTTTCAGCAGTTTGGAAAGAATCAGTGACACTAGAAGGGCAAATAATTCCCCGAAGTGACCAAGAGTTTCCCCTTAGACTAGCTGAAGAACATATTGCACAATGGTACTGTACTTTATCTGACTAAAATGTGCTTATATTGGAATTGAGTATGCGCTGTCACATTCCAGCTCATGCTGATAAATGCAGAGTGAAGAAATTGTCAGCAATCCATGAGGCAATGAAGGAAAAAAGTTGCCTACCCAGACACTGAAAGACACAATAACTGTTGCCAAGAGAAGTTTATGATCCCTGCTCCTTTGCTATTTCCACACAACATTATTTAGGTGAGGGCCAGTCCTCTCAGCCAGTGCTGTCATATCAACTAAAAGATATCAATAGCTAGGATGAAAAGCTTGAAGAAACCCCCCAGGAAAAAAAAATTCCACATCACAACCAGTGACTATGCTAACCTAGTCTTAGCATAAACAAAACCACCCTCTTTTTTCTATGCCTCATGCAGAAAAATGGGGAGTGTATGTGCACATCTACATTGACAGATAATTACTTATTCAGGTTTTGTTTCAGATTGGAGGCTGTGAATTTTAAAAAGAAAACATACCACAGATCACAAATCAATGAAGTGCATGGACATGTCCCAAGAAATAGAAACTGCAGTGTGTTCTCAATTGGTGGTAAAAACATGTCTTCCTTTTTCTTCAGCTGTCTACAAACTGATTAAGTAAGACAACTTATCAGCTATAAAAAATTAACAGGCTTTTGATTTTGCTATGTTTTTCCTAGATATATTACAGTCATTATGATACATCTGATAATGACAACAACAAAAAAATGGTATTATCCCTGACACAGAAAAATGTGTTTCTGACTGGCTTGAGAAATTTTGCAGAACAGGTCCCATCATCAATCATATTAAGTTTAATGCTGGTTGTTCAAAGAACATCTTCACTGATACTGAGCCTAAGGGCACAACCTATCAAAATTTTTCAACTTTCCTCAACTAAATAAGAGCCTGGCTGAAAAGTCTGCATGCACATCCAAAATGTCCATCCTTGAACCAAGCTCCAAGTCTTGCAAAAAGTGCCTGAAAAATTATAGTAAAATTCAGTGATTTGAGAAGACAAATAAAAGACTGGGATTCACTTTTCACCTGAAAGCAAATTCTAAGTTTGGTGACTTGGGGAATGGCTAAGACTAATCTACGTAATGCATTTACAGAACGTGTATATGTATATACATATTCATATATAGAGATATACACACACACATATCTATATAGTATGTGTGTGTATATCTATATACTCACACACACCTTCATTTATTTATTTATTTGTGTAATTTTTACTACAGTATAATGAAGTCCATTATGAAGACCCATGCTGAAGCAGATTTTTCTCAGATTTTGGGTAGCTCATACTCTTAACAATTACCAAATGACCTGTTATGTATGTACTGCGTGTACCACACTGGATCTTCAATCTGGGTAGTTCAGAAATAGAAAACAACGCTGAAGCTGTTATAATTACCTGTGTGCATTTCTGCATCATACCCTGTAAATAAATTTCAATAACATGGTTTACCACTGTTGCTGTTTCTTTGCATTTCCATAAGGCAGAGAGAACCCAAGCCTGGTCCAAATACATAAACTCATGCACAAACACAGCTGGACTTTGAAGAACTTTAAATTATTAAGACAGACAATGGACAAACAGTGGAAAAGTGTGGCTGTGCTTGGTAAGTATAAAAAGGAGTGCATAGCCCTAGCTGTGTTAGTAATGGCTTATGTCTTCTGCTGCAAAAAACCCCACAAAATACCTGCATATTACCTTTTCTCTTTTCAGAAATAAGATCTTTGCAGTATTTCACTAAGTTAAAGCATACTGTGAGACTGCATGATGTGGCATCATGAACTTCCTCATCCTCTGTTTACATTTCCACACAAATTCTTCCCAGCAAAGAAAAGTGAGAAGTTTTGGGTTATGAAGAAACTAAGAAACTATGAAGAAACTAAGCCAGATTGTCACTTTGTAGATGAGAGCCAATGCTGGCTCACAAGCTTGGTGAGGGAGAAAAAAGGAAATACTTGTTTCAGTTCTGTTAGACTTACGGGATGGTGCATTTTTATTTACCACTGAAGTAAGTAACTCAAGTGTTCCCAGCTGTGTACTCCAAATTTGGATGTTAGCCCAGAAGAGGTGAGCTTCATCTCATTTCCAGGGTAAAATGCTCACCTTCTGGTTGCATGCTTCACACCAGGGCATCAGATTGTCAGAGGCCTGCAATTCTGAACTAAAGAGAACTCTTGGTGTTGGCTTTTTCTTTCCCAAAACTTATTTTACTGCTTATTCTGCCCAATCACCCTTTGTACCATTCCAGTCCTTGAGAGGGGTGACTGAACTAACAGCCCATACACATTCACAGTGTGGAGGTGTTTGGCAGTGCAAAATCACAGACAAATTATGCCCCACTAGAGACAATGCTCTCCAGGCACCATCCACTGGCTTCCGGAGATAATGGCAACTCTAAGACCATAAATTAATTTCATATTAGTCATTGAAAGATTACATAGGGGGACCAAAGCTGGATTTCAAATGATCACTTAAGGAGGAAAAGCTCCATATCCCATTGTATTGAGCTATCTGGCATCCTGCTCCATTCTCTGCCTCTGGCTGGAGATTTAAAAAAAACCCAATACTCTGCCAGAGGACAGAGTGGGTCCTTCTTCATGGAGAAAAGACAAACATTTGATTCCTTTTTAAGATTATTCTTTTTAAATAAGGGAAGTATCTCTTCACATTGAGATATGCTAACTTCTCTGTAGCATAGGTTCTTTGCTATTTCCTGTGGCCTGCCCAGCCTAGTTTATTACTGAGAAATAGTGACAGAAAGCAGTCAAGGGAAAGGCACTCAGACCGTGGCAGGGAGAAACTCCTCCTAAGAATGTTAAATCCTTCTTATTAGGGACTAACCTGCATACTTCTAAATCATCAGACCAGTCATCATACAACACTGGAGGTTTCTGAGCAGCATGAGGCACCGTGGGCCCTGCCCCAGCAGGTACTCCATGATCTGGGGCAGCCAGAGCATCACTGCCAGAGCCTGCCTCTGCAAAGGAGTCCTTGGTGTGCCTAAGGAAAGGCGCAGGCTGCCGGTCTCTGTGGGAGCTTTTCCCTTTGCTTTTCCCACATTTTCTTGAGGAAATCCTTGCTTCCTGAGATGATGCTGAAGACTGTGATTCCTTAAGCCTTGAAATCCTTCGGCGGTGATTTAAAGTAGGATTCTCAGGGTCAGACACCTCTTGTTTCTCTTTTCCCATTGTCCCCAAGGTGACAAGTTCAACAGCATTACTGTTTGAGGATCCATCCTGGTTACTGCATGATCTATTATTTCTTCTCCCTCTCCTGGCCATCCTGGCCTTTTCTCTTGCTCTCCTCCTAGCCTGAGCCCACTGACTCTCATCTGAAGATGATGATGAATCAGATGCGTTCCAGCTGGATCTCGGAGGCTCAGGATGCAATTTACAGTTTCTTCCCTTTCCTTGCTTTTCTGTATGCTCACCATTGTCTCCAGTCTCTTTTTTCCGCCTAAACCTTCGTTTTATGAGTTTCTTACCACCCAGCTCCCTATTAGAAGGGGCCAGCACCATGACAGGGGTTGCATGCTCAAGCTCATCTTCTGACAAATCATGCAAGGTAGTAGATCTAGACAAAGCAGTAAGCAAAGGAAAGGGATGGAAATGGGAAGGGTGGGTGGAAAGAGAAATCACACAGACAAAAAAAAAGAATGAGAATGAGAACATGAATTTTAATACAAAACCATGAGACTAAAACACAAAAACAAAACCAAAACAAAGAGAGATCAAAAGAAAACTAAAGTCTATGTCAATTATGAATAAAGTTAAGCAGAAGAAAGAGCTACATAGCTACATAATATTTAATAAAAGCAACTAACAAGTATCAGCCAGACGAGAGTATATTTTTCTCAGCACATACCTACAAATGTCCTGAGTGGAGGGGCAGACAGATAACCGAGACTGACTCCTGGGAGCTGTTCCTGTTGTAGGACTGCTTGCCTGTTGAAATAAGTTAGACAGTTTGGAATCTTTGTCCATGAAATACATTGCAGATATTTTACTGCTTTGCCACATGATCACAAAATTAAAACAACTGTTTCTGCTGTTCATAGCGTGCTGTTGAACACATAGAAGCTGGCAAAATACAGGAAGCTTGAACAAAAGTGAAACCAATTTGTGGAACTAAGTACGACTGAAGTGTTTGAGCTCTTATTCGCTCATGACTACTTTTTGTCACTGTTTGAGGAAGCAGCTTTCAGCATTTGAATTTTCATTTGGCTCTACTGTAAATGTCTGAAGGGGAAACGTCTGATTTTCTTTTGTGCAGTCAACCAACCATGATGATGCCTTTCCAAATCACGTGAAGTGCATCTGTGATACATTTAGTGATGAAGAACCCAAAGCTAACTTAGGTTGAGTGGACTGATGAAACAGCAGGAAGAATAGAGTGTGTTTTAAAAGGTTTTCAAGGCAATCAGATCTTCTAGAAAAGCTGAAAATGTTAAGCTGAGATGAGCCAGAAAAATTCAAAGTGCAGGCTGCATCTCTACAGAGCTGATCACATTCTCAAACAGCAGAAGAGATATAAAAATGTTTAGTATGTGACATTTTGCTCATAAGGTTGTTGCTACAAATTGGAGATTCAGTTACCCAATACTTTCACTGAAAACATATTTTGATGGTGTTAGCAGCAAACCATTTCAATCTGCCTTGCTATCAACTGACAGCAGAATTGTATGGAATCCAAATGTAAATCCAAGGCATTATGATTCTTCAGGATCCCTCACAAGACACAGTATTGTGGGAAGTGGGTTCAATACAAATCACTAAGGCTGTGACCTTCCTGCAGCTGATCAGGGCTATTGGCTTTTACTATGCAACCCCATCCAGCCCATTGTGATCACCACTTCCAAATGCAGACAAAATACTACATGCCTCACAATTCCACAAGATCGAGCACCAGATGCAAGGGAAGGATAACTATTAAGAAAGAGTACAAAGCAAAAATCAAACAAAGATGTAAAGCCTGTTATCCAAATCTTTTGTACTAGCAAACCAAATTCAGTCAGATATAATTGAAATTATTTCTAGTTCAACTTCCACAGACATTTTTGTGGCGTTAAAAAGGTGTTGGAAAATTAGTAGTACAAGCAAAATAATTATAAACAGCAAGTACCTGCCAACACTTCACTTTTAGCCGAGGTTGTCAATATCCATTCTATTTAATGCATACATGTTTTGGAAACATCAGTCACCCCTAGGTGGATTTTTGCTTTTATGGGTACCAGCTGAGACTTAAGAATAGTGCTTTTGCATGAAAACAATCTTCTAGCTCCTGGAATTCAAGTAACCATTTTTACCTGTTGATTAATATCGCAAAAGTACACCAAAACCACCAACAATATTACTAATTCTTTACTTCTGGTTCCATGAATGAAAATCAGATATACAACAACTAAGCCAAAATGAGCAATTAAATTGGTAAATTGACACAATCCTTGTGTTGTAGGTTTTTGCCATGTCTGGATTCACCATCAAAGGAGGAACATTAGTGTGTATACATGCAGTGTCATGCTGGAAGAAAACGACAAGTATCTGTGAGAGAAATTGTATTCCATATCTCCTCTTCTACAAAAGCAGTATTTCAATTATAAGCATGGGGACAGAGTAGGAGTGTTTCTTACATACATATTGGAAACATATGTTAGATGCATGGTTGGGTATATAATCTCCTTCCATCTCAGCCTCTGAGATTAGCATCGGGTAATTAGGCATGTCTTAAGCTACTTAATGAGGAAAGATGCAGACATCAGCACCAATAATTAATGCTATTGGGTTACGTGCTGCTACTGCATGAAGAAACATCCCTCCAGACTAAGCCCCAGTGGAAAGACTGGTGAAGAAACCCAGCCCTAGAGCTGAGTGAGGAATCCTGGATTCATGCCTCATGATGTGCTCATTTTTTTTTCCCCTCACAGCTCCAGGACTGTTACCATTGCTTCTTTGGGATCTCTGTACTACAGGGGTTTGGCCTGGTCTTAAATGGTGGTCAGGTCAACTCCACACAGTAAAGGGAATTTTTACATCACCTTGCCACAAGCAATACCCTTTGAAGGGATAGGGAGACTGGCTAAGCTGGCCCAGCAGCCATACAGTAGGTCTGCACAAGTTCAAGAAACTTTCAGCAGCTATTAAAGCAGGAAGCCAGCTAGACAGTTCTTAAGAGAGCTGAAATAAAGCCAAAAACCAAACAAGCTCCTTGAAAAGTTTTTTACACTTACGATTTGGAACTGCAGACCAGCAGAAATCTAATTATTTTAAAATAAAAATTACATTATCAGCTTGACTACTTAAATCTTACATTTCACTTTCAACTGTCAAGAGGTCTGGACTGTTTCAGTCCTGCTCAGTCAAATTTACTTTCTAGTTCCCCTGTGCAGGCATGATGCTATGTTTAGTTGTACATAACTCATAGGAAAGTTTATTTCCTTCAAAACCAATTTACATAAATATCTTTTACAAAATGAATGCTTTTTGCTTATTTATCTAAGCCCTATTGGAGCAAACATGACAACTGGCAGGCAAAAAGCCAATGCACCATTTAAGTCTTCAAAAACAAAGCATGACAAGTTATATACAAGATAATTCAGATTCTTACCTGTGATCAAATATAATTAATTCAATTTCTACAACTTTGTAACACAATTTTTAATCTACATTATCTAAATTTATATGCATTTATCTACATTAAATTAGTTTTTCATGGTAAAATCATAGATTCATAGAATTCCAGGTTGGATGGAACCTCAAAGACCACCCATTCTAACCTTTCTTGGCAAAAGCACAGTGTGGACAACATGTCCCATCATGCCATCCAGCTGAATCTTGAAAGTGTTTTCATGGAAAAAAAAAATTAACTGATGGAGCGAATTCTAAAACCAAAAAGGTTAATGCTTCTGATATTAATTTTCTGATGTTGATTTGTGTCCCTCACAGGAAATGGAGGCCCTTATTTTGTAAATAGTGTCTTTGTAAATGAAATACAAGTGGAAGGACCTGCTAATGTCAGGTCTCTCCTTGCTACCACATGTCAAATGAATTCAATAATTCACATCTCGATGAGCTGTTTTTAAGAACCTGTAAATTTCAGCTCAGTTGGACGCCTAGTCCCTTTACTTTTTCATCCTACCCTGTTCTGACAGCAGTAACTGTATTTGCTTTCTGCTACCAGCACTGCCTCTAAGTTTACCCCAATTCTTTTGGCAATACTCCCTCTTTGCCATTTCTTTTACAAACCTTACATCCCAAACTAATTTTAAAAATTTAAATAATAATATCTCTTAAAGTCAGTCTGAGAGCAAAGATATCTAGAGGGGCATAAAGGGTAGTGTGTTTACAGAGGAAATTGTGTATTTTCAAGGCATATCTGACAAACCAGAACATGATAATTTGAATATATTCTGCTCACGTCCTATCAGTCCAGCTCTTTTGGGAATGCATATGCAGCAGATGTTGGAAAGTCTCAAGCAGACAGATCTTATTGCTGTAATTACCATCCCATTGCTATTTTACTATACAGCACACTGAATATTTTGAGATACTGTATTTAGTCAATAGAGGGATCAGAGTGATGCTGAGGAGTCCAATTCCACCTGGGAGGCTGAATAACAATTATTTTTTAATAGTATTCCTTGAATGAATGTCTTCTTCAGACAGGTATATTGTACAGTTCACTGGAATGGGAAAACTAAACAAGCACTGTACTAATTTTATCATAACAAATTACATCAGTAGCAGAATTAAATGCGGTAATTCAAAATAAAGCTGTCTCTCAATTAATTTATAAGCAAGGCAGCTCATTTCTCTATGCCATCAGCACAAGGAAGAGGTCTAAAGGAAAATGCCAACTCCAGCTGATCAGGTCTGGCATTTCAAAAAGATTGTTAGGAGAGAGAGATTCCCCAGTCACCACCTTCTGCTGCCTCGGCCAGTTTAGATGAACTCTCTTGTCAAGGATTTGCAATTCAATTAACAGACATGACAGGGCACTCATCCATAATTATTTTTGGTATGTTGGCAGTGTGCTTTTCAAGCAGAATACTGGTAAATACGAGTTTTCAGGATAAGTGAGATGATAATCACTTACCCAACAAAAAGGGACTTCAGTGTCACACACATGTGTCTGTGTTAGAAAACCAGCAAAGACAGAAACTGGGTACAGAAATAAGTACAACTGGTGAAAACAGTAAGAATTTCAAATCAAGGCTACCTTTACTTAAGTGTTCAGGATCTGGTAGAAGTTTCCAGAAAATAAATTAAAATAAAATTTAAATTAAATTAAAACTAAAATTAAGGTTGAAATGAAATAAAATAAAATGGGGGGGGAAAAGGTCCTTAGAGGCCATCTACTGCTTAAACTGCATGTTGAAACTAGTGCAAGAACATGAATCAAGTTGTGTTCTTCCTAAGAGCACAGAAGGGACCTGCTTCAGCTTAACAGAAAAGCTGAGTAAAAGCAGATTCCAGAAGTGCAAAGAATCACATAGTAAGGGAGTGAAACTTTAAATTGAAAAAGTAGATGATGTAATGGACAGCTTATATAAAATGGCCTCACAGCTATCACCAGAAAGGGCAATGAATCCTGTTGTGTCTCTCTTCTGAACAGAAGCATTTCCAAAAGCTGGTCAACCTAGAACACTGCTGAAGAAGAAAGCTGCAGGCAACTGATGGGTGATAGGGCAGACAGGGAACATGTCTCATGCTTTTATTCCCCTGCTGAGTTTGCTCTAGTAGAAGTGATGCATCACAGAGTGCTCCAGATCCCACCAGCCATTATAGTTTAAAAGCTGAAACTCTATCCTATTTGAAAAACAGCACACAAAGGAATGGATCCCTTAGAAGATCAGAGCAGTTTGTCTGGCTTTAAGTTCAGCAGGAGACCCAGTCTGTGCATTTTAATCTGAAAATTTCTGCTTTGTAAACAACGTAACATTCTGCAG